TCTAAAACTGTTTCTGCATCGCACCTGGCCTCTTGGCCCCGGGAGGACAGCAGACCTACAATCCACCTCCATCCCTGAGCACAGCAAGGTCATTTAGAGGGCATTCCCACATGCAGTGGTTGATGGTGGGTTATGGCATAACCTTCTACATTTGGTGGGCAGGTTTCCTTTAAGCTTCTTCTACAAATGAATAACCAGCAAGGTTTTGTGACTTTCCCAAGGGCACATGGCTCTTGGTGGCCTCCTGAACACCCTATCCAGGGCTTACATAACTGAGTTACACACTATGGAACTGACTTGGGGGCCTCATTAATGAATGCTGCTTTTTTTTTAATGTCAATCTTTTTTCTTAAATTTATTTTATTTATTAAAGATTTCTGTCTCTTCCCCGCCACCGCCTCCCATTTCCCTCCCCCTCCCCCAATCAAGTCCCCCTCCTTCCTCAGCCCAAAGAGCAATCAGGGTTCCCTGCCCTGTGGGAAGTCCAAGGACCACCCACCTCCATCCAGGTCTAGTAAGGTGAGCATCCAAACTGCCTAGGCTCCCACAAAACCAATACGTGCAGTAGGATCAAAAACCCATTGAAATTGTTCTTGAGGTCTCAGTAGTCCTCATTGTCCGCTATGTTCAGCGAGACCGGTTTTAACCCAGGCTTTTTCAGACCCAGGCCAGCTGGCCTTGGTGAGTTCCCAATAGAACATCCCCATTGTCTCATGTGTGGGTGCACCCCTCGTGGTCCTGAGTTCCTTGTTCGTGCTCTCTCTCCTTCTGCTCCTGATTTGGACCTTGAGGTTTCAGTCCGGTGTTCCAATGTGGGTCTCTGTCTCTGTCTCCTTACATCGCCTGATGAAGGTTAATATTCAGGAGGATGCCTATATCTTTTTCTTTGGGTTCTCCTTCTTATTTAGCTTCTCTAAGATCACGAATTATAGGCTCAATGTCCTTTATTTATGGCTAGGAAACCTAATATGAGTGAGTACATCCCATGTTCCTCTTTTTGGGTCTGGCTTACCTCACTCAGGATAGTGTTTTCTATTTCCATCCATTTGCCTGCAAACTTCAAGAAGTCCTTGTTTTTTACTGCTGAGTAGTACTCTAATATGTATATATTCCATACTTTTTTCATCCATTCTTCTATTGAAGGGCATCTAGGTTGTTTCCAGGTTCTGGCTATTACAAACAATGCTGCTATGAACATAGTAGAGCATATACTTTTGTTGTATGATGAGGCCTCTCTTGGGTATATTCCCAAGAGTGGTAATGCTGGGTCCAGGGGTAGGTTGATCCCGAATTTCCTGAGAAACCTCCACACTGCTTTCCAGAGTGGTTGCACAAGTTTGCATTCACACCAGCAACGGATGAGTGTACCCCTTTCTCCACAACCTCTCCAGCAAAGGCTATCATTGGTGTTTTTTATTTTAGCCATTCTGACAGGTATCTTAAAGTTGTCTTGATTTGCATTTCCCACAAACCTATGAACTGACTTTAACCCACAAACCTATGAACACCTGATTTTCGATAAAGGAGCTGAAAGTATACAATGGAAAAAAGAGAGCATCTTCAACAAATTGTGCTGGCAAAACTGGATGTCTAATCTGTAGAAGAATGAAAATAGATCCATATCTATCACCACGCACAAAACTCAAGTCCAAATGGATTAAAGACCTCAATATCAGTCCGAACACACAACCTGATAGAAGAGAAAGTGGGAAATACTCTACAACACATGGGCACAGGAGACCACTTCCTACGTATAACCCCAGCAGCACAGACATTAAGGGCCTCACTGAATAAATGGGACCTCCTGAGACTGAGAAGCTTCTGTAAAGCAAAGGACACTGTCACTAAGACAAAAAGGCAACCTACTGACTAGGAGAAGATCTTCACCAACCCCACAACTGACAAAGGTCTGATCTCCAAAATATATAAAGAACTCAAGAAACTAGACCGTAAAAGGCTAATCAACCCAATTATAAAATGGGGCACTGAGCTGAACTGAGAATTCTCAACAGAAGAAGTTCAAATGGCCAAAAGACACTTAAGGTCATGCTCAACTTCCTTAGCAATCAGGGAAATGAATGCTGCTTTTATGGGGGCCCCAGGGTGTGAACATCACAACCCAGGGCTGTAGCTCTGTAGCAAGGTACGGCCTGTCCTCAGCATTTCGGTGTGTGAACTTTAGAAATCATTCAACCATAATAAAGCTAAGAGCTCAAAGACACCCTGGAGCTTGTCTGGACAGTCCCTTCTTTTCAGATGAGGGCACTGCAGGGGATGTCCTCTAATGGAGTGGTCTCTGGCCATTTTTCAGAAACTCGAGGTAAGAAAAATGGCAAAATTGGGAGTGGGACAAAAAAAAAACCCTGCTACATGGGTGGAAAACAGGCAGGAATTATGGTTTTCCTTTACACTATTGCTTTGGGGTCCAGCTCATCACGTACAAAGGTGGCAGAGGGAAAACTTGGACAGTTTTTACTTATTGAAACTTCTTATCCCAAATTCTAGACAAATGTCCACAGAGAGGGAAGGGACAGACGCCTGAAACAGACACCACAGTATCTTCAGGAATGACAGGTTTATCGAGCACACCACAAGAGAGCAATGGGCAGAACCCCTGGCTGTTTGTACCCAGCAGCCGCTCTTCTGTGATTCCCCACCGGGTTGTGAGGACAGTTTTGACTGGTGGAGGTTTGACTGGAGGCACGGTTTAAAGAGTGGCTCTGTGGTGGCAGGTCATGGTTAGTTTTGGACAGTCATACTCAGCCACAGTCTTTTACAGTGTCCCCTATTCTTCCTAGCACATGTAAAACAAGACTGATTAAGGAAGCACAAACGACAACGATAAACCGAGGCTATCACAGCTTTCCATTGTTGTAACTAGAAGATTTTGTTCAGAGACAGCCTCAGTCCAACGCAAAGCACGATTGTGTACCACACAGGAGAATGGACAGTATGTACGCCCAAACAAAACATCGAGTAGATGGGTCTGTAGGTAGCTTAGGTGCACCTTACCTCTCCTCTGTCCTTTCCTTTGCTCCCAAGAAGGCAAACTAAAGAGTGTGATTTAGATTCTGAGTAAGTTCTGTGGAGAGTGAAGTCCAAAAGCCTTACACAAAGGCTACTAAGTTAGTCTAGGAGTGCAACCTGTTGGCACGATGGGCGGCTGAAACTGCTAGGCGAGGCCCTCTAGAACTGTCCAAAGCCACTGGCCCTGAACCCCAGCGTGCTGGAAGGTAGCATTCGAACACTAATATGCTAATGACACATGCTATGGATAAATTTATAAAGACCACTACATACAAGAGAGCATGCACATGAAATTTAGTGCTATGAAAATGACCCAAAAGCCCAGCGAATGTGACGTGAGAGCCCCAGTCCTTTGTACAACCTTCACTGTGTTTTCTCTAAGCTTTCTCTCTGCTCTGGGGAACTCTCCCCTTTGTAAGTGTATTTTCGTTTGTTTTTAGAGCTTGGGTTTCTCTGTGTAGCCCTGGCTATCCTGGAACTACTGTATAGAGCAGCCTGGCTTTGAATTCACCGAGATCTGTCTGCCTCTGCCCAGTTCTGGGATTGAAATGTGTATCCTTTTTTCTTTTTATTGTTTTTATTGTTGTATATTTTTCTCCGCTCCCCCCACTTCCCTTCTGCACTCTCCCATGACCCCATGCTCCCAATTTATTCAGGAGATCTTGTCTTTTTCTTCTCGCAAGTAGATTAGATCCATATATGTCTCTCTTAGGGTTCTCTGTTGTCTAGGTTCCCTGGAGTTGTGGGAAGTATATATTCTTTTTTTAAAAATATTTATTTATGTATTTGTTATGTATACAATATTCTGTCTGTGTGTGTGTCTGCAGGTCAGAAGAGGGCACCAGACCTCATTACAGATGGTTGTGAGCCACCATGTGGTTGCCGGGAATTGAACTCAGGACCTTTGGAAGAGTAGGCAATGCCACTGAGCCATCTCTCCAGCCCTTTTATTTTGCTTGCCACTATCCACATGGACCACAAGAACCCAGAACTCCCCAGAGTGGTGCTTACCATATTCTGATATCTGCCAATATCGTGATTACAGGTAATAGTCTAGTGGCAAGTTAAAAACATGTCAGAACTATCCCGCTAGCTCGAAGACTTTAAGAAATCAAATGAGAAGTCACTCTTAATTCTTTTCTCTAGATTAGGAAATGTCTACCTGTCCAGAGCTGCCATGTATCTCATTTAACAACTTCAGGGAGCTGAAACACTCACTGGACCGCTAGAAACAGGAAGGCAATATTACGTGAGCGTTTTATGTTTTACTTGCTTTGGTCAAGTGAGCCTTGAGAGGCAATGTGGGAAGTTATTAAAACTCAAGGAACACAGAAGACTAGATTATTTCTCAACTTACTCTTAACGGCACATGAACATGTTCTGTATTTATTTTTGAATATCTGGACTCTAAAAAAAATTTATTTTTATGCATATGCGTGCGTGTGACGGTGTGAGTGACTATGTGCATGGAGAATTGTGGTCTCCTCATTTGTTACCTGTGTACGCCACAGCATGCATGTGGAGATCAGACGCCAACTTGAGGAAGTTGGTTTCCTTTCCTTTTACCTTGTGGATTCTGGGAATGGATTTCGTAAGGTCAGCCTTGGCGGCAAGTGCCTTTACCCGCTGAGTCAGCTCACCAGCTAACCACTTTCTGTTATTTAAGCAAAGCAAAGATTCGCGACTCTCAGGACCCAAGAAGGCTCAAGTAGTTCTAGTCACAAAGTGGTCAAGTTCAGCTTGGCACGGAATTTATAAACCGTCTCACTAGAACGGAAATGGCACCTAGACTAAGGCTCTCCAGAAGGCTCGCTGGAAGTGGGAGGAACGGCCCGTGCCGGGGGGGGGGGGGGGGGGGGGGGGGGGGGGTGGGGGGGGGGGGGGGGGGGGGGGGGGGCTGGAGTTCGTCTCCTCGCAACGGCCTATTCATTAGGCCAGCTCTCCCTCAGCCGAGACCAATGATCAGGCGCGCTGCCAACGCTCCGCGTTAAGACTTCGACTGCGCGGGGGATTCGAATCGGCGGCTTCGGAGTGAGTGCCACTGGAGTGGCGGCGGCTGGTTCGGTGTTTCGCCGCGCCGCGCTTTCTCTCGTCATGGAAGATGTCTTTCGGTGAGTGTCCCTCAGGTAGTGTGAAGGCGCGAGCCGAGCCGAGAGCCGGCCAGGACGGTTGAGGCCGGGGCCCTCAGCCGGGCTTTCTCCTCAGCGGCTTCCCTTGGGAGTTCGCCCTCCATGCCTCCGCCATGGTGGCGGCCTCCGGGTCGCTGGGGTCGAGTGGGAGCTGCAAACTGCAGCCGGCTGCCGTTGTGTGGGCCGAGATTTGGGGGATTTGGGGCAGTTTGCAGGAAGGACCTTCAGGGCGGTCGGAAGTGACACGCGCCTTTTCCACCCAAGGGAAGCTCCCTCTGAACAGACGCCCCGCCCCCAAGTCCCCAAAGCTCGTGTGGTGAAGGTTTTAGGAGAAAATTTCAAAGTCTCTTAATAAAAGTGCTAGTTAACTCGGGGAAGAATTTACTACTTCTTGCTTACCTGCTATGTTGGGGAAAAAAATTAAAGCTGAAGTTTATGAAGAAATGCTTGTTGTCAGAGCCATTTGTTTCTATCTGCAAGCAGATTTTTAAGTTCCCACACTGATTGCTTTTTTTGTTGTTTTTGTTTTTTGTTTTTGCCTTAAATGACATACCAGCCTGTGATGTAAAACCATTTTTAAAAACTGTTAAATCGTGTTACAGGAAATAAAATTTTATTTTTTTTTAATCAGCCCTTTGGGTATCCAGAGAATAAGATACTCCAAATCTGTTGGCGTAAGGCAATTTAATTTTTAATCAGGTCAACTAAATATTCTTTTGAAAACCTCTCCCCATTAAAAGAAAGAAACAGGTATCTTGACCATTAAAAAGCTAGTTTATTTTAATGATTAGGTGTTTTAGTATTAAGTTACAGTGTGTCTATGCTATTTTCCCAGAGAGTACGTTTAGTGTGAGGCTATTAAATGTTTGCTTTCGACAATAGTTGTATTCTTATTTTGATAAGCAAGAACTTCCAAAGACAAAAGTCATGGTGCTGACAATTCAGACATGTCGACAAGAATCCAAAATATGTTCCTTTAAGTAGAAAAGTGAAATTCCTAGACATAATTAAAAAACAAATACTAACATTTCTAAAACCTGTACTACTTCTGTCAGTGAAATTATGAAAAAGCCATTGCTGTCTGTAGTTTCTCTGACTAGCCATTTCAGTATGCTAGTGAGTTACATTTTGAGATTGATTTTTCTGGTCAATTCTGCAAAAATACTACTTTTAAATTCTTTTTCCCCTAATCTTATCATTTCTCAGTTTAAAAGCCTATGATTGTTTTTCACCTTGATTCATACCCATCTTCCCTCTGAAATTTTCCACGGTCTAGTCTCACCCTGGCACCCCGTTCTACCCACTGGGACTCTGCTAGAGCTTCCTAACTGATTCCTACTTGTATTGCCACCCCTATTTCTGTCTGTGGAAAAACACAGACATCTTAAGATGCAGATAGAACGTTGCCCCTCTTCTGCCCAGCACACCTGGTACATCAGCTTTGTCCCTCTGGTTCTGTCAGCCTTGATGATTTCCGTCACCTGGTTGTGGTAGCTCTAACACTGATCACAGGTCACTCCCTTAGAAATAGCTTTTACTCCGCGCTTACTTAGCTTGCCCACACCTTTTCCTTTTTATTGCTTCATGTAACATGGCACTATTTTTATGTTATTCTTTGTTTACTCCAAACAAACTGAGGTCGTTGGAATTTGGTTTGCTTGGCTGACTTAAGCTGTGGTGGGATGTTAGGAAACGAAGAAGAGCAAAGTGGGTGTTTACCAGCCCTGTCATCATGTTCTTTTCCTCTGGGACAGCATCTCTGGGACTGTCACACCAAAGGAGAGGCTTTCTTTGGATCTTATTCTCACCCCGTCTTATCTGTGCTACTGAGAAATAAGGGGAAGGGCCTGAGTAGACCTGTCTAGGTCCCACTGGGTGGCAGTGACGTTGGGGATCAATGAATCTAGATAGACCTGGGGGCAAATACTGCTTCTGATTTCTCTGAACACGTCTGAATGATTGTTCTTTTATGTGATGTTTGGGTTATATTCAAGATCCCATTTTCAAGCATATACCTGGCATAATGTAGAATCAAATGTGTCTTTGTTTTCTAGGAATTATTCCTAACCTCTCATGTATGTACTTTTCTGTTCTAGCACATTTGAAGCCCATATGCAAAGCTACCAGGGCAATGACCCACTTGGGGAATGGGAAAGGTTAGTGTGTATTTGTTTGTTTGTTTTCTTTTAAACAAAGGAACCATATACTACCCTGTGGAAAACTAATATTCATATTTTTCTAGCTTTATAAAGTGGGTAGAAGAAAATTTTCCTGACAATAAAGAATACTTGATAACATTATTGCAACAGCTAATGAAGGAATTTTTAGATGAGAAGAGGTACCACAATGACTCAAGATTCATCAATTATTGTTTAAAATTTGTGAGTATAATTTCAGGTAGATAACTAAATATATGTTTTACTTTTGGTCCCCCTCCCTTATTAGAATCATTTTAGACTGCCTTTTCCTATCAATTTCTTGGTTACAGTCATGAATTTTTTAGAAGTTACATAGTCAGAGATATGTATTTTAAAGCCTTAGCTTCCGAAATATTGAGGAATCAGTGATATAATTTTAAAATTCCTCTTTATTTCGTATATGTGTGTTCCAACATGAGATAGGAACAGAAAGTTAAACGAATTGTTTGATTTTGATACGAAATGTGGTTGAAGCTGGTTGTGGAGGCTCACACCTTTAATCCCAGCACTTGGGAGAAAGAAGCAGGCAGATCTCTGCTCAAGATCAAGACTGGTCTACATTGTGAGTTCCAGGCCAACCAAGGCTGTGTATCAAGACCCTGTCTCAAAAAGAAAAAAAAAGGAAAGAAGAAATGTACTTGAGAGAGGGAACATATAAACTCTTGGATCCTAAGGTCTCTGGGAGTTTAACTCAGACTTACATAACAGAAGGAGAAGGCAGTTTCAGGCTTATGTTTATATTATGGCTTCTGGTTTAGTATTTTCATGGGATTCCTGAGTGTTCGAACAAGTGGGTCTCTGACTCTCGTGCCTTCTCTTGGTTTGTCTTATCCAGCTTTGACGTGGAGTGTCAGGTCTCATGTCCAGGAGTAGTTGACCAACAAATAAAGGACTCCACAGTTTTTGGTGTGCTTTTATTTGGTTACAGTTTGGGTTTTTTGTTCTTTTTTTTTTTTTCTTTCCTTTTTTGTGTTTTTCTTTTTAGTCATTGATATATTTTGTTTTCTAGGTTTGGGGGGTTTTGCTGTTGTATTGGGTTTTTGTTTTGTTTTTTGAGAAAGAACTTAAAGTTGTATGAGCAGGGAGGAAGAGAGGATCTGGAAGGGCTTAGGGGAGGGGAAGAATATGATCAAAATATATTTATATTTAAAAATTGTTGCAAACAATACAAATATAATAACACGTTTTTAAAAGAATTTGAAAATTAGTTAAGATTTGTACATCATGTACTACAGGTAGAATAACCCCTAGTGGGAACATGTTTTTAATTAAAATATTGTTACCAAGGCCAGGTGGTGACTGCACATGCCTTTAATCCCAGTACTCAAGAGATAGAGGCAGGCGGGTCTCTGTGTGTTCGAGACCAACCTGGTCTACAGAGTGAGCTCCAGGATAACCAGAACTGTTTTCACAGAGAAACTCTGTCTTGAAAAACCAAATTTAAATAATAAAGAAAATGTTATCAGCTATTTAAAAAAGAGGATAGAACTTTTTTAATTTAATCTGAAATGAAAACTTGGGGCTATGAATTCTAGTAGTAAAATCATATGGAATAGATAAAGTGAACATGAAATTGTTCCTTAAATTATAAAATACTATAATTAAAGGCACCCTGTGGAACTTGAGTAACCTCAAGTTAAGACTAAAGCAATATTTCATGTAATAAGTCATTGTAGACCCTTCTATTTTGGGAAATACTGTCATAATCCTTTAATATCAAGGAGAGAGATGATTTTTAGACTCCCCATCTAAGAACAACATATGTCTTTACCTATACAATATATTCCTAGACTTTCGTGGAGACTGAACAGTATAGGGCTGACTGGGTTCTAGGACAGACCTAGCCTAGCAGTTTGGTTGTCTTGTATTGATAATTATTGTCATGTTATTCATAATTATGGAATAGAGTAACAACATGTAAATGATGTACAATGTGTGGTCTGAATAATTGGTATATAACCTCTAATATTTATTATTATGTGTTGAAAATCACAACCCTCTCTGTTAGCTATTTTGGAATATAATTATCAACCATAGTTTCCTAGTAGAAGCTGTTCTCCCTGTCCTAGCTGTCCCTTATCCATTAATCATCTCTGTGTACCTCACTGTTTTTATGTGATTCTGCTCTGGGTTTCTGTAGGCTGAGTACAACAGTGATCTTCATCAGTTTTTTGAGTTTCTGTATAACCAGGGAATTGGAACCAAGTCATCTCCTCTCTATATAGCCTGGGCGGGCTATCTGGAAGCCCAGGGAGCGCTGCAGCACGCCAGTGCTGTTTTTCAGAGAGGAATTCAAAACCAGGCTGAGCCTAAAGAACTAATAGAGCAACGATACAGGTAGTATCAAAATATATAACTCATCTTTTCCTTCATGTGTATTTTTGTATCTGTCTACTTTAAATAACTCTAAGTCATACTGGATATGTGTTGTAGATCTGAATGAAGATGTAGAGCTTTATACTGTTCTTAGGATGGTGTGTAACAGATTTTATAATGTCACTCTAGACTGCAGAATTGTGAGACAACACAGGACATCACTTCAGAAGAAAGGCACATAGAAGAGACAGAACAAATTTTTCCCTCAGAACAGCCCATTAAGTCATGAATAGAGTTGTCCATTCATGAAGACAGACCTCCCTTGAGTTTTCTGTTTTGATTTCTTTGCGATATTGTAATTGTTTTAGATTATAAAATATGTGAAGTAGTAGTTGAACATTTTTGAGTTTTAACATCTGCATTCTTGGTTCATGGACAAAGTAGATGTATGTGTTTGATGAATTTGAAAAATATTAACATAAACTGTGTAAAAAGAGGACTTTTCTAATACAAATATCCCCAGAATTTTATTTCTGTAGTTTAAAGCAACTTTGAAATTAAGTTTTTCATTTTCTGTCTTTATTGCCTGTTATATTTAGTTTCCATTTCAACATAGATGTATATTAAACTGTAAAATTAAAATATATATTTATATGTTTTCTATTATCATTTAGTCTATTCCAGGCACGTCTTACTAGAACCCATTTGCCAGCTCAAGGTAAAATAATACTTTTCTAAAATGTCTAGATTGCTGAAAATTTAGTCTGTAATTTTTGCACTAAATGTTTTTTGTTTTTGTTTGTTTAAAAAAAAAAGCCTCATATAGTATTTATTGAAAACCAAAAGCCAAATTACTGTTTTGGGTAATAGGAAGACACTCTGATAATAATCTCACAAAACAACTCTGGATAGCAAGGGGGCTGTGTCTTAGCACTGTAATAGAGCAAACCTGCAAGCAAAGCTTAATGAATTTACCTCAAAAAATGATAAGCCTATATCTAGATATAGTGTAATGGCATATACCTATAATCCCAGTACTCAGAAGGAAGGCTAACAGAGAAGGAACATAAGTTTTGAGGATAGCCAGGGCTACATAGAATATACTGTCTTATTTAACTTTATTTTGTGTCTCTTGGTATGAAGGTGTCAGATCTCCTGGAACTGGGTTAGAGACAGGTGTGAGCTGTCATATGAGTGCTGGGAATTGAACCTAGGTCCTCTCTGGAGGAGCAGTCAGTGCTCTTAAAATCGCTGAGCCATCTCTCCAGCCTCCCTCCCCCTCCAGTATGCTGTCTTAAAAAAGAAAAGAAAAAATCATTCTTAAGAGAGGATATGCTGGATTCCTCATCTTTCCAAAATTGAATCAAGTAGGCGTAATGTAGCTTTTTATTTCCCGTTTTTGTTTGATTTAACTGGGAGGTGATTTTATTTAATTTTTTAAATTTTTATTTAAATAATGATTTTTTTATTATTTTACATATCAACCATTTTCCCTCCTCTCCTCCCGTTCCCTTCTCTTATCCATATACCTGCCCCCTTCCCATCCATTTCTCCATCTCCATTGAGAAAGGTACAGACCTCCCATGAGCTTGCACAAAGCATGGCACATCAAGTTGAGGCGGTACCAAGTCCTCCCTTTATGTAGAGGCAGGGCCAAGTAATCTAGCATGGGGAATAGGTTACCAAAAGCCAGCTAAGCACCAGGGAGAGGTCCTGCTCTCACTGTTAGAAACCTTACTAAGAGACCAAGCTTCATGATTGTCACATACATGCAGAGGACCTAGGTCTGTCCCATGCAGGCTCCCTGACTGTTGGTCCAGTGTCCATGAGCTCCTGTAAGCTCAGGTCAGCTGTCTCTGTTGATTCCCCTATCATGACCCCCCTGGCTGGTACAATCCCTCCTCTCTTCCCTCTGAAAGACTCGGAGCTTAGCACAGTGCTTGTCTGTGGATCTCTGTCTTCTCTGCTTCCATCAGTTACTGGATAGCGTATCTCTGATGGCAATTAAGGAAGTCACCAATCTCCTACAGTAGTTGGCTAGTTCAGGCACCCTCTCCACCACTGCTAGGAGTCTTAGTTGGGGTCATCCTTGTGAATTCCTGGGGGTTTCCCTGGCTTGGGGTTTCTCCCTAACCCTAAAATGGCTCCCACATCAGGATGTCTCTTGTTACTCTCCCCTCTCCATTCTGGCCTCCTGCACATAGCCCACCTAACCTGCTCCCTCTCCATCCCTCCATACCCCCAACTCCGTCCCCAGTTTACCTAGGAGATCTTTTCTACTTCTCCTTCCCAAGGAAATCCATGCATCCTCTTTGGGCCTTCCTTGTTATCTAGACTCTCTAGGGCTGTGGATTGTAGGTTGGTTGTCCTATACTTTATTCCTAATAACCACCTATGAGTGAGTACATACCATGTTTGTCTTTCTGGGTATGGGTTACCTCACTCAGAATGTTTTTTTTTTTTCTAGTTCTAGCCATTTGCCTGCAAATTTCATGAGGTCATTATTTTTTTACAGCTGAGTAATACTCCATTGTATAAATATATTACATTTTCTGTGTCCATTTTTTGGTTGAGGGGCATCTAGATTGTTTCCAGGTTCTGACTATTATGAATAATGCTGCTATGAACATAATTAAGCAAGTGTCTTGTGGTATGATTGCGCATCCTTTGGGTATATGCCTAAAATTGGTATAGCCTGGTCTTGAGGTAGATTCTTAAGAAAACGTCATATTGATTTCAAGAGTGGCTGTACCAGTTTGCACTCCCACCAGCAATGGAGGAGTGTTCTTATTCCACATCCTCTCCAACATAAGCTATCAACAGTGTTTTTGATTTTAGCCATTCTGACTGATATAAGATGGTATCTAGAGTCGTTTTGATTTGAATTTCTTTGATGTTGAGCAATTCTTTAAGAGTCTTTTGGCCATTTGTAAGTCTTTCGTTGAGAATTCTTCTATTTAGATCTGTATCCCATTTTTAAAATTGGATTATGTGGTATTTTGAAGTTTAGCTTCTTGAGTTCTTTATGTACTTTGGAAATAAGCCCTCTGTCAGATGCAGGGTTGGTGAGGTAATGATCCCATTTCAACAATAGTCACTGTCATCTTGTTTAAAATAACCTCTTAGACTTTATATTCCATCTAGATAGTATCTTAACTTCTTAACTTTCTCTAATATTTTTCTTAGCTGAAAATTAGTCCATTTTCTGAGACAATTTAAAATGGACTGATTTTTTTTAAGTAATTTTTTTAAAGATTTATTTCTTTATTATGTATACAGTGTTCAGTCTCCATGTATGCCCGCATGCCAGAAGAGGGCTCCAGATCTCACTACATATGATTGTGAGCCACCATGTGGGTGCTGGGAATTGAACTCAGTACCTCTGGAAGAGCAGTCTGTGCTCTTAACCACTGAGCCATCTCTCCAGCCCCTTAAAGTAATTTTTGTATATATGTGTTAGATGTTTTATTTTATATGTATGAGTGTTTTACTTGCATGTATGTCTACACTGCATACATACCTATTACCCACATTCCCTGAAACTAGAGTTATAGATGACTGTGAACCACCATGTGGGTGCTGGGACTTATACTTTTGTCCTCTGTAAGAACAAATGCTCTTTGGCCGGAGAGATGGCTCAGTGGTTAAGAGCATTGCCTGCTCTTCCAAAGGTCCTGAGTTCAATTCCCAGCAACCACATGGTGGCTCACAACCATCTGTAATGAGGTCTGATGCCCTCTTCTGGCCTGCAGGCATACACACAGACAGAATATTGTATACATAATAAATAAATATTAAAAAGAAAAAGAACAGATACTCCTAACTGCTGAGCCGTCTCTCCAGCTCCAAGTAGATGTTTTAAATATAACATACCGAAAGAACAGTGGAATGTATTGTGTGCTAATTTTATTTAATGTTACTTTTCACTTATAGCTGCAACCTCAGAACCTCTGCATAGTGCACAGATTGTAAACCAAGTCATGACCACAAAGTCAAGTCCAGGAAAAAACTCACCCTGTGTTCCTAAGAGTCTGGTAACAAGAACATTTATTTGTATGTTGTATAGAAATAAGGAATGTTATTGGACAGCCATTCTGACTGTCTTTTATGTCTGCCTTTGCATCTTATTCCATTGACCCTGTCTGCTGGGACTGACCTCCATTTCACCACCACTCCATGGCAGCTCTGAGCCTTTTCATCTATCTTTGCTCAACTCAAATATAACTTCTTGTCAAACCTAAGATCCCCTACCTGCCACACAAACACTGTCCACAGTTTCTTTCTTTTTAAATATCCTCTGTTTGTTCTGCTGGCTTCTTTGTATGCCCAGGAAATTCCTATTTTGGATCACATTTGGTGGTTTTTGAGCCCTGCTCTAGAAAAAAACCCAGAACCTCAAACATTTATGCTCATAACCTCAAACCAGAACTCTAGCATTTCAGGCACTTCTTCTCTACATTTGACACCACTCTTGATATTGTATGTCTCGTCTGTTTAGCACTTAATTTTTTAATGTGATTTTTAAACTTTATTGTTCTCAAATTTGGGATGTGTCTATCTCACTCTCATAGCTATAAAAAAATAAATACTATTTCTGCAACAGAGCAGAAAATAATCTTATCATTTTTTGCTACCAACCATTACATAGGTAACTGCATCTTTATCTGCTGTTTCCATGGGGGAAAAGTAGCTTCCTACTTGTACCTACTTTTCATCCCTGTAAATATTTTTGACCCATCTAAATCTCTTCTGCTTTGCTTGCTTGTAAACATAAAAATACTCAGATCTCTTCTTCAGCTTCATGTTTCTTAGCATCTTTCTCTTTCATAGGACAGTGTTCTTTAGGACCTTTTTGTAGTTTAATCCCATGTAAAGACATCTGTTTTGCTAATGCACACATTCCTAGAAGTAGAACATGCATGTCTAACTTTGATAGATTGTATGGATTGTCCAATTTATATCTTACA